GGATTGAATAGTTACTGGGCTTGTTTTTATATCTGACACCTTTCTGGATTGAATAGTTTACTGGGTTTGTCTTATATCTGGCACCTTTCTGGATTGAATAGTTTACTGGGTTTGTCTTATATCTGGCACCCTTCTGGATTGAATAGTTTACTGGGTTTGTCTTATATCTGACACCTTTCTGGATTGAATAGTTTACTGGGTTTGTCTTTTATCTGGCACCTATCTGGGTTGAATGGTTAAATTGGTGTGTCTTGTATCTAGCACCTTTCTGGACTGAATAGTTTACTGGGTTTGTCTTATATCTGACACATTTCTGGATTGAATAGTTTACTGGGTTTGTCTTATATCTGACACATTTCTGGATTGAATGGTTTACTTGGTGTGTCTTGTATCTAGCACCTTTCTGGACTGAATAGTTTACTGGGTTTGTCTTATATCTGGTACCTTTCTGGATTAAATGGTTTACTGGGCTTGTCTTATATCTAGCACCTTTCTGGATTAAATGCTTTACTTGGTGTGTCTTGTATCTGGCACCTTTCTGGACTGAATAGTTGACTGGGCTTGTCTTATATCTAGCACCTTTCTGGATTGAGTGGTTTAGTGGACTTGTCTTATATGTGGCACCTTTCTGTATTGAGTAGTTTACCTGGTTTGTCTTATATCTAGCACTTTTCTGGATTGAATGGTTTACTTGGTGTGTCTTGTATCTGGCACCTTTCTGGATTGAGTGGTTTACTGGGCTTGTCTTTTACCTGGCACCTTTCTTGGTTTAATTGTTTACCAAGTTTGTCTTGGCAAATTTCCTGATCAGTTTGCCGAAAGAATAAATCAATGAACAGTCCAAAACATGCTTTTTCATTAATATATATATTTTTTTGTTTATTCAGCTACACCTAAAGGTGTTGATTTCAAAGAAGTCAAATCACTTTTAGAGATGATTGAAGGAGTCAAATCAATCCATTCACTCCATATATGGTCATTAACCATGGGAAGAAATGCTTTATCTGTGCACATTGCCATAAGTAAGTTATTAACCAGTCCTAGTTGTTTAATAAATTCCAAAATTTATTAATGTGACAATTTTACACTCTTGAAGCTATGTCGAGGCAATTCAAGACAAAGATAGACAACCATCCTTTTTAATACATATCCGATTGCAGGATTACACATCTTGAATTTCATAATAAATTTAGCAAAACAAATTAAGAATTGATCACTTCACAGACGCAGTATGCTATTACCCGGTAGTTAAAACTAGTTTGTGACATCTCAAAAAAAAACAGATGCCAATGAAACTTTATTAGAGATCTGAACTTTTTGGTTGAATTCTGCACTTACTAATTTACATAATACTCATCAGATTTGAATACTGAGCATGCAAGATTATTTAGCTATTTAGCTATTGATATCTCGCATATTAAAATGGGTTAAAGTAAAAAAATGGCATTTTCACAATTTGTTTTTTTTATTATTAACATTTCTGGAGGTGAAATATTAACCCTTATCCTGCCAGCCCCATGTACTTTTACCTCTGATAACATGCTATCTGCAATAGCAGGCCTTTTAGGGGTTGTCCAAAAAACCCAGAACTGGAACCAGTACCGGAACGTGAAGTGCGCCCTCATGCGGAAACATCATAAACATGCGCTTTCTGCCTATTATTTCATCCACATAATTAGAATAAGTGTACACACAAACGCAAATTGCAATTATAATAATATACAAACTAAGTCTATTCAATATCATATATATTAAACAACCCGTATGTCGAAATATTTTTAATATCATCTTCCGGTTCCGGGTTTTAAGACAACCCCTTTTAGGACTATGCTATACATAACTTTCTTCAGGAAATGAAAACATTAATATATTTTTTTTATTAACTGTAGGTTCTCCTCGTGGTGATGATTCTGTTGATCCACAAGTTGTTTTGGAGGAAGCTGCTAGAATATTGGAGGAAAGATACAACTTACATAATACAACTATTCAAATTGAAAACTACAGTAATGGAATGAAACATTGTCTTAGATGTAAAGAACCCAAAGATTAAAGGAATATGAAAATATAAAAAAAATAGTATATATATGATATTTATATATTATCCTGTGTGTACTCTTTTGTTACCCACCGCCTGGACACAATTATTATGCAGACCCTGGTAGTTAATAAAGTTGATTTAAATGATTTATTACCTGGGTTAACCTCTGGGATTATTACAACTTGATAATTTACTATATTTGTTGATTAACTGTATTACACTGCTAGGATCCGATTATAAGTACTGTAAAATCATTTTATTTAATTATTTTGAACATATTCACACTGAATTTTAAGCTCACAAGTTCTTGTGGATTTAATTTCTACTTACATTGTATCAGTGAGAATAGTAATTAATGAATTTAAACGATTTCCTTAAATGTTATAGCCATTTGGTTCTGAAGTAGCATTTGTTTCTCTTCTATCTACTCTAGTGTGTGTATTAACTACAATGAATATTTAAAAAAAAACTTTGGTCATGAATTCGCTTGATTGTGTTTATCAGTTGAAGAACACTGGTCAGAACTGCAAATAAAGAATGATTGTTTATATATTGAAGTGGTCAGTTTTTAGAGTTTAATTATACACTACTAAATTCAAACAATTGTGTTGTGCTTGTTCATAGTCATATATATCAGATATATCAGGAAATGTTTAATGAATAGGACATTGACGTAGATAAAGACGTCCAGAAAACAGCTGACGCAGTTCTGACAGCAGTGCTAATTTATAGATTCAGTACAATGTGCATTTTGTTTTTAATTTTTTCAAAATGTAGTTGTACTTACTTATTGATTTTCTTTCAATGAGCTCAAAAAATTATATATGTTAAAACAATTTTGCAGATTATTTTTTGTTGTTGCCACAATGATGGAAGAAGTCATGTTTTTTCTGTAATTTTCTACTATGTACCCACTGACACTTGAAGTGCAATATAGCCATATATGCTACAATACTAGAGTAGTACAATTTGCTTGCCCATTAACAGGCTAATGCCAGAATAATATGTAAACAGAAACCAATTTCTTGACTTTCATGATTCTCAATTATGCCATATTAGATTCACATATCAACAAAGTAATGACGGTCATTGAGCACCGCTATAAATATAAATCCCCCTTAGTCCAATCTAGCATACAGTATAGACGCAAAATCAAGCACCTTCCATTATGCTCGCCCACATAATGTAAATAATCTTTTCTTTTTAAATTTTATTTTTCAAGATTCATATCATCTTTACATATCATGTGTATTATCGCTGAAATACAAAATCTGTTTATGAATAGGTGTCTTCGGCTGTCTTTGCTGTATATTGTTAGTTCATTAATTGGACCTCCTAATTTTGCTTCAACAATATTATTTTCAGGTAATTCAACGACCTAGCAGAAAAGGACCATATTCCGATGTAATCCCTATACATTTATTGATGTGAAATAAAACTAGTTATACATTTGAATCCTGTTGTTCTGTTTTCATATTTCCTTCACCACTGCAATGATTCAACTTAAATAATTTTCAATTTTACCTGTATATTTCACTTTATATTCAGCCAATTACAAATATTAATGTTTTTCATGGTCCAATTAATGGAAGTACTTTAATTGTATAGTGTATTGACAGGGCATTTCTAAGAGAGCAAATTTCAAATCCTAATTCAGTGCTCTTACAAAACAATCGATTACGTTTCCATTTGAAGTATGTATAAACATGTATTTATTGACAGCACAGATCAATTGTTAGCAGTTTGTTGGCAATTTGTTTTTCTACCTTATGAAGGCAGCATGAAGCAGCACAAAGTCATAAAACAGATGTTCTCTAAAGATTTGTACCCTACTACAAAACGGCTGAGAATCAATATTTTAGACATATATTAATAATATTATGACAATCAATGAATTAGCAAATATGATTGCTTAGTTAATCTAGTCTGTGTTTTCAGTGTAGATATATCAAAATGGGTTATATATGTATACCATTCATTTTGAGTGTATTAAACATACAAAGATAAATGTAATGTAAAAAATCAAGCACTGATACAACTACTATGTGTGTTATTTTGATCTTCATCAAACACAGTGTTAATCCAATGTGGAATCAGTCAATAAACCATGCAAATTTCTCTTGATCCAAGAAGGGACAGTAGGATTTCTAGTTACTATGACACTCTACATTATGGGATACATTGTATGAGTAACAACTATTTGGAAGGGATACAACTGACATCAGTGCCATAGAAAGAAGACAATCTTAACAATGATTTCAGTATTAGTAACAATATTATATTTTCAGAAGCACTAGCTCTTCCAGTCTGTCAAAACACATTTAGTACACTATACAATCATTCAGCTTTACACTTACTGTGTGGATGCAGCATTATTATAATGCCATGCGGTGATGTAAAAACAAATCCTGGCACACCGAACTATGTAAGAACACAGAAAAATAAATTGTCCATGCAAGTCATATTATTAATATCATCTCAAATAATAAGTACATACTGACAATCTTTTGGAAGACTTATAAATTTGAAACTCTCCAGAATCCACTCACAATCTTTCTCCTGACAGAATTAAAATGTTCATTCTAGGATATTTCTGCAATATCGTGCTAGAAAGTTCTCAAGTGCAAAAAATTAGCACTATACTATACACGCATATTGACAATACAATAAACTAGCCAAA